AGCAACCGACCTTCTGCGAATGCAGCCAGCAGTGAGGATTCGCTGCCAGCTCAGCATTTTAATATTTTCCTCGTTGACAACTGGAATAAATCTGAATTCAAACAGATCTCACAGTTATCAGCACTGAAATATGGCAATGCAAGATTTCCTTCCCAATACAATTCGTCTCACTTCACTTTCGTCAGCGATGAAAACGGTGTTAACAATCGTTATGCTGGATTTTTCCGCACCGAGAGAGCCGGACTGGACACACTTATATTTATCGGCGACGAGATCCTTCGCAACCCGCCACTCTCTGAAGTTGACAGCGTTTTACGTGAATGGAATAAAACGGATATCGACTCAGTAGGATTTGTATCCGTCACAAATGACTCTTCTTACGTATTTCCTTTGACCAATTACCAGAGCAGTCTCGTTGAAACCCGGACTGCAGGTGACAACCAACAGGTGAGTGAAGTAGTAAAATTGGGAGATGTAAAACTATTGTACCGCCTCCGTGTCGATGAAAATGTGCTCCGCCGCAGGAATATTTCCGCCAGGCCAACAGAGTATATGAAACAGATCATGGATGCTGAAAGAAGAACGCTGCTAAAAAATGCCGCGCAGGAAAATGATGAGGATACCGTAACTAAACAAACCGACTTTTTCCAAAATGAATTTCAAAATGAAAAACCCGACACATCGTCAAAAACAGGAAGAGTCGTTGAATCCACAGAAATAGCAAGAACCACGGTTTTGAAAAAAGCCCGCGTGTTTGAATACCGCCCGCCAAAATTCTTTGCTGACTATGTCGTAACAGGCTTTAGCAATTCAGTATTGCCTGTCAATAAATTTCAGCCTTATGGCGGTGGCGCCGGACCGATATACATGTCAAACGGTAATGATTTCAATGGTCTCATCCGAATGGGTACATCTGACCTTATGGAGGATGTCAAATTCTCAGGCGGTATCCGTATTGCCGGCAACCTTCGTGATAATGACGTATTGTTTGAATTCACCAACCTGCGCAAGAGACTTGACTGGGGCTTTCTCTATTACCGCAGCAGCAACGAAGTGGGAATTACTTTTGTTAGCAATACAAACCCTCCCCAGTTTCTTAGCTATCCTGGTAAACAATTTTCAAATTACTACCTGGCACGGTTGAAATATCCGTTCGACCGCACCCGTAGCTTACGTGCGACCATTGGACCACGCTTTGATAAAGTCATTACAAGTGGCATCGATCGTATTTCACTCGAGATGGACGCTATGAAAACAAGTTATGGTCAATTCAGTCTTGAATACATCTACGATAATGCGATCAACCCGGCAACGAACATCTGGAATGGTCTTCGTTACAAAGTATTCGTCG